ACAAGAAAACTAGCTGGCAGGAGAAAAGTGGTCTCCAAGGAGAAAATGTGCTCTCCCACCCTTGTACCACCTTGTAAACAATGAAAACAAGGTCCATGCCAAAAATGAACTAAGACGGATGCAAAATGAGGGTTCGAAGGTCAAAACGCGCAGTCGGGTGCCCCGAAATAGGGTGTTAAGCACCAAAAGTGGTGTGCGACCACAAAAGTGGTCTCTCGGGCCACAGTGTCCCTCTAGAGAGAGAAAACAAGGTGTGTGCCAAAAACCGTGCCAAACAGAGAAAGTTAAGCGGTCCCAAATCGAGGCGCACGGCCGACGGCTCCGAAAATCAACAACTGGTCTCCAAACGAGAACAGTGGCCTGCGACCACGAAAAGTAGCCTACGACCACTGAGAGATGGTCTAAAAAACCTCTCACTCCCTCCGGGAAGAGAAAACAAGACCTGGTTCACAAACCGAGGCAAAGCACAAAAGGGTCCTGAGGTCCGGGGATAAGGCTCTCAGCCGAAACTCCAAAACCTTAGAACGAGCACAACAAGCACCATCACCGAGCACTCAATCGGTGACGTCTGAGTCTTAAGGTCGGTCAAAAATGGGGTGTCTACAAATCCCGTCCTCTATTGGGAATCGCAATAGCTGGTGCAATGTTGAGGGAACAGCCCCCATTGCATGCAGCTATGCTCTTCCTAAGATAGCATTATAAGGGGAGGGAGTGTCAATTACTGTGAACTCAGTTTTTATCTTCTTGGTGCCAACCTGCACCTCCAAACTAACTGCTCCTAGGGGCCATGTCGGCGTTCCATTGAACCCGACCATTGGACCATTGGATTGTTCCAGATCATCTTGGTGAAGGCTAAGCTCCTTGTAACACTTGACATACATGATGTCACAAGAGCTGCCCTGGTCAATTAAGATGCGTTTCACTTGGCATTATACAATCTGGAGGGATATTACCAAGGCATCATTGTGTGGATGTTGTACCATCTCTAGGTCGTCTTCAGTAAAGGACATCATTGGTCCCTGGCACTCGTCTGCCCTAGGTCTTTTCTGACAGACCTAATACACATGCTGTAAGTTTTTTACCTTCTGAGTCTTCCTTCGTATTTCGTTCTCATGGACCTTTGAGTGAATCACATTGATCACTTGAGGTCCGCCTGCCTGCAGTTGTGGTGTAGGAGGGGGTGGTGCAGCCGATGCCTGAGGTAGTCTTGCTTGTTCTTCCCTTGTCCTGGCCTCATCTACAAAGTCCTTTAAATGACCTTGTCTTACCAGGTCTTCCAAATTTGCCTTCAAGGCTCTGCACCCCTGAGTCAGATGCCCATATTCATTGTGATAAGCACAGCGCTTGCCAAGGCTTCTTCCCATAAATTCGCTCGGAACCCTTACTGGTGCTATGTAATAGGGTTGATTTCAGATTTTCTCCAAGACTTTGTAAATCGGGATTCAGAATATGGTTGTAACTGTCTGTGTGGCCCTCAGTCCTGTCTCTTGCTTATTGTATCCACCATCACCTCAGCTTCGCTTTGGCGAGCCGCTTTTCTTCTCTTGTTTTGACACGTTTGTCCCTGGCGTGTCCTCCTCGGCTCTGGCATATTTTTCTATTCTGGCCATGAGTTTCTCTATACTTTTCGGCAACATCTTTGCCAGTGACTTTCAAAGCAGGCAATCGTCTTTCAAGCCGTTCTTAAAAGACACGACCGCCACCTCTTGGTTGCATGCTGGTATCCGGTTGAATACCTTATAGTACCTCTTGGTATAGGCCCTAAGGCTTTCATCCTCACCAATTCTCAGAGCCATCAGGGAGTCTACCCATAATGGCTGTAGCTTGTTTGTCACAAACTTAGCCACGAACATCTCGGCTAGGCCTTCCCGGGTTTTCACAGTTCCTTTCGGCAACTTATGAAACCAGTTCGATGCTATTTTCTCGAAGGACGAGGGGAACACCTTGTAAAGCAATGGCTCGTTCCCGGTGTATAGTGCCATTGAGTTCAGGAACAAGCCGACATGAAAGTTAGGGTTCGACTTATCGTCGTATATCTAGAATCTCGGCATACTAAACCTTTTCAGGGCCTCAAATTTGTCCAACTCTACCGAGAACGGCGTTTTCGGCTTAACTGGGGAGGTTACCTTGGCATTTTGTTGCTTCCTTTGGAGGTAATCTCTCAGATCCTCCTTAGTCCGTCCAGAAGCTCGGTTATCGACGGATTTCAGCCTTTTTGGTGCGCTACTCCCAGTATGATTATGAGTCCTCTTAGACCTTTATCCATCAGTTGCGTCGAACACAACTTCTGCCCTTGAACATGCCAATGTTCTTTGGGGTCAGCTTCCTTGGTGTGATGCGTCCTCCTAGAATCTCGCCTTCTTGACACTTCTCGCCCGACCTCCATTAAAGGCCGGTGAGAGTGTTTCTCAGTCCTGGTGTGCTAGAGGACTGTAGGGATTGTTTTTTGCCCATCTTTTCGGGCATCTTTTTTGGCCGCTGGAATCGACATATCTTGTAATGGGAATGGTGGCTGCATGACATTGTTCTGCATCATGAAGTTGACAACCGTTTGTAGGTCCGCCAATTTGTTTGCCATTCCCTTCATCTCATCGTCCCTCCGTAGGCATCTTTCTTTCCATACCTGGAGGTCATCCTCGTTATAATACCCGCTTCGGTCTAATTTCTTTAGTACGTTGCCCTCCTAGCCGACGTCCTTTTCTCCGTGATTCCTATCACAAGTCTCTTTGTTGCAGTTGTCTTCTTCAACGTCAAGGTCAATATGTTTCCCACTCCTAGTAGGAGTGTCGTCCCTAACCTTCTCTTTCTGTTTGTTATTGGCCATCTATTCTTCTTTCTTTCCCACAGACGGCGCCAAATTGTGGGGGTCAATTTCTGACCACACTGCCAAACGGGTACTCAGCTGGAGAACACTAGCAGAATAAATTAAGCTCGAACGACCTGCAACAGAAAGAAGAGACTCCGGCAATGCTTCATCCACCCGGGGGCACTCTGACGATCAAGTCAGTTATCTCTCAAAGATAGCAAAAGTGCTTAACTCACTATTCAGAATACAAAAAGCGTACCTTTGACCCATGGGGGTACCTCTCTTTTATAGCCAACACAGACCTAATCCCAATAGAAGTTTAGCTTTAATGGATTCTGTCTTATTGTCAATCTTGGACTCCCAGTAGGATTGGGATAAACTCTCTAAGAGTCTTATCTTTATCCAAACTGAAGTCCTCTCCTAATCTAGGACTCTTGTCCCTTATCCGCTTATCCCGGATTCCAGTATTCTCGCAGATAACCTCGGCCTAGTTGAGATTACCTCGGCATCATGTCCAGGACACGTGGTACCTCGGCTGACACATCGGTGCCACCTCGGCCACGTGTTGTCATTCAGAAATTACGTCTCCACAAAGGTATTCTCGAGAACTTAAATAATTTTTTAATGAAGAAACTGCACAAGTGTTGGGTGTAGACGTTTAAGCTTTATATTGGTTGTTGTATTTATGTTCGTTAGTTCTTGCCAACCAAATATTGCATCGAAGTGGATTTAAGTCATTTTGGCCTTTCCAAATTGATATTTTTTCTTGCTTTCCTTTCCTTCTTGTAATATTTTATTTATCTAATAAAATATTACTTCATTACTAATAATAAAAAAAATAAAAATAAAAACATATTGCTACACATAAGAGGAAGGGGAAGGGGAACTCATGGCTCAAGCCCATGACTTGGTAAGCAGGGGTAGGAATGCCTGGTCATTGAGCTAGTTGAAAGTGATCCTTTAATATCGAGAACTTATTTTTTAACTAAGATTTGAAATAAAAGTAAAATTGTTGTTGGAGAGATGATCTTTGTGATGACAAACTTAACCATGCAAAATAGGGGGTCACAAATAGTTTTATTGGTGGGATGCTCGTGTCACCACTTTTTGCAATAGTAATTTTTGTTTTTAGCCACAAAGCTTAGTTTGTAGGTAGTGGCGAAGTCAGGAATTTAATATACGGGGGCACCCATTAATTACGATTTCAAAATTTTTCTTTCCCAATCAATAACAATAATATAATAATAATTTTTTGAGCTAATGTTAAACATTAAAAATTAATATTCATTACAAAAAGTTTTAAATTTTAAACTTTTACGATTGACCCCGACGAGTTTTCATCTTTTGAAATCGTTCCATAATAGTATCATTGTCAATGCCATAAAAAATATCTCTCTCAATATAGACAACCAAGTTATCATTCATCCATTCATCATCCATTTAGTTCCACAATCGATTTTTCACAATATTCATAGCTGAAAATACCCTATCAACAGTAGAAGTTGCAACGGGTAAAATTAATGCTAAAGTCAAGAGCAAATACACCAATGGATATACTTTGTCTCTTTTAGTGTCTACCATTTTCTTAGCAAGATCGGGAATTCCATTTAACATTGAGAACTCATTATTGGATAGCATGTCGATAATATATGTATCAAGTTGATCATTAAGTACTATGAGCTCCATTGAAGAAAATTCTTTGAGATAAAATTCAGCAAGATGAATTAACTTTTTCTTGTCAAAACTAGAGAAAGAGTTAGATAGATTCAAACATGCCACACAAAGTAACAACTCAGTGTTTGACTCAGTGAAACGAGCATTTAGATCTTGAATTTGCATATCCAAAACAGTATAGAATAACTCAGCGCGATAGTGATGTAAGTTTATAATTTCTTAAGCAGTGCACCTTTTTCTCCCTCAAGCTACAAACATATCTTCCATTTGGGGAACATCAATTTCACGCTTTTCACAAAAAGATAAAATATCATCAAGTAAGGATGTCCACCCACTCTCCCTTATCTTTTAGCCGTACTTTAGAAATTTGAACTAAATTCATGGCATTAACAATATCTTGATCTTTCCTTTGTAGTGCATGCGATAACTCACTTGTAATAGCCAATATCGTTTTCATCAAATGAAGGTTGAATACAAACTCAAATGATTGAATTAAGTCCAACAATACTTTTGCTTCTGCTCATTTTTCTGAATTTGAACCATCCTCTGAAATCATTTCCAGCACATCAATCACTGTTGAAAACATACTAGCCAAGCTGACTAAAGGACCATAGTGTGAACCCCAACGTGTATCACCAGTACGTTTAAGATTAGTTTCTTGATTTAAACCTTGACCACTAGATAGCTCTCTAGTATTAAGTGCCTTAGCAACTTTTGCAGCTTGCTTCTCCCTAACAATATCTCGGCGTTTACATGATGCTCCAACAACATTCACCACATTAGAAACTAAAGTGAAAAGTAAAGCAATTTAATTATGATTCTTTGCCACGGCTACAAGTACCAATTACAATTGATGAGCAAAACAATGAACATAATATGCACAAGGATTCTCTTTCAGTATAAGTGCTTTAAGACTATTGAACTCACCTTGCATATTACTAGCCCCATCATATCATTGACCCCGCAATTTGGAAATACTCAATCCAAGTTTAGAGAATAAATTTTTCATAGCTTGTTTAAGTGAGAGAGCATTCGTAGTAGCAATATGCTCAATACCGAAAAAGCACTCAATCACTCGGCCTTTTTTGTCAACATATTGTATTACAACTGTCATTTGCTCTTTGATTGATATCTCACGGGCTTCATCAATCAAAATAGAAAAAGTGCATCACCAAGATCTCTAATTATCACATTGATAGTTTCAAATGCGGCCACATTTACAATGTCTTTTTGAATATCAGGAGATGTCAACTTGAGATTTTGTGGAGCATTGCTCAATGCAACCACTTTGACATCTTCATTATGATCAGCAAGAAACTTGAGAAGTTCAAGAAAATTTCCTTGGTTACTTGAATTTTCATATTCATCATGCCCACAAAACACAAGTCCTTGTCTTAGAAGAAATTTAACACAATCAACCGATGAATTCAAACGGGTTCAATACTCAATTCGAGCTTGATTAGATTGTTTGAAAAAAATCGTTTCAATATGTTGGTTTTGGTTTAACAAGTCTTGATATTTACTCGAAGCTTGATTATGAGCACTATTGGAACCTCCAACATGAGTCTGAATTTTTTATTTTTTCTTCCAATTTGAGAAACCCTCACCAACAAAAGAATCACCACCAGTTTGATCTCCAATATTGGGTTTGAAAAGACAACAACATAAACAAAATGTTGCATCTTTTGCTACGCTATACTCCAACCAATTAGGAAATTCACTAAACTATGCCTGATTAAATTGCCGAAGTTTTTGTCCAAATGATTTTTGTGAAAAATTATAATCACGAGGTTGACAAGGACCTTTTGTAGATATACCCTACGAATTCAGACTCGATCATTAGCATTATATTCCATAATCCGAGGCCGTAGTCCTGGATCTGCAGGAAGGTCTACTAAGTTGATTTCTATGCGACTTTGTTTTGCAGAAGAACAATTATCATCTTTTTCTTGAGAAAGAGATGATTACAATTTTGATTTTCTTTTGAAATATTTCTCCATGACTGTTTGAAAAAACTAAAAATCAAAATAAAAATTCATAATCAAAATCTCAAACCCCCCACAAATCAAAATCTCCAATTTTAATACAAATCAAAAAATTTAAATTAGCACAAATCAAAATTTTTAATTTTAGCACAAATTATAACAAATCAAAATCTCTAATTTAAATATTAATCACTGCAAATTAATATTTTTAATTTTAGCACAAATCAAATTCTTAATTTTAGCACAAACAACAATAAACCAAAATCCCTAATTTAAACATAAATCACCACCAATTAAGATTCATAATTTTAGCGTATTAAAATATCTTATTTTAACATAAATAATAACAAATAAAAAAATTTTATAAATCAAAACTTAACAAATAATTATAAATTAATACTCAAAATTTTTATTTAAAAGTAAAAAAATTAAATAAAGTTACATGTAAACAATGAAGAGAAAATACCAAGGTTATAGTATGGTCCCAAATCTGTGTTGTGTGATCCTAATTTGGTGAATCGCGAGTCGGTAAATTGTAAAGCAACAAAGTGAGACAAAGAAAATACGAAGATACTTCACAAGTACTGTAAATAAATAAAAAAATAAAAAATTTCATACACTTTTAAGGTTTTAGAGTTTTAACCTTGCTGTAATTGGAGTTGTGTGCACGCACCTAAAAAAAAGTTGTGTGTCAGTATTTGATTGGAATTGGGATTCAAAAATATATATATATATATATATACAAACGTGGGTGCGTTGTGCGTGTGGTGTGTGTGTGTCAGTGGGTTAGTGGGTTTGAAATACACCGAGGAGGGGCACAATCTGTCTATGAAAAGCAGACCACACTTAAAATAAAATAAAATTCAAAAGTCAGGGGGCACGTGACCCCCCCGAGCCCAACGTCCCTCTGCCACTGTTTGTAGGTAATATGACAAAATATTATTTTTAGTGACAAATACAATTGCATTTGGCTAAAAGTTACAATTGCAATGAAATTTCAAGTTTCCCATAAGAGTTTGAAAATATACCGTCAGTTAATGACGTTGCAAAAATGTAATTTTTACAACAATAAAATCTATTTCTTAATATGCATCATTTGACCACCAAATAACATATCAATCTACAATTTATTAAATTGTGTTAACACATTGGCATGGTGTTTTCAAACGGACATGTGATATTTTGGATTTTTCGAAATTTATAATAATATTTTTATTTATTTTTTTGGTAAAAAAAACAAATAGGAATACTTACTAATTAGTCCCATTAAGTAAACTTAAATACCATTAACTCTTGACTTTTTAAATGCACCAATAAGTCTTACAATACTTATACTTATCAAGTTCTTTTATCATCTTTTCTTCTCTCTCTCTCTCTCTCTCTCTCTACTATTTTTCCAAAAGCTTTACACCACCATTATCTACCACCACCGCTGGCATCGCCGTCTACCCACTGCCACCACTGTCGTCGTTGGCCACCCACTACCACCACCATCGTTATTTGGATGCCACCACTATTCACCAACTATCTCCACCATTGTCGCTGATGTACACTCTACCGCCACCAATCTACACTTTATTGTCGTAGATCTACATTCCACCATTGCCAATCGAGGCAGCCACCATATCACCGACGCCTCCTTTATTTCATATTCAGATTTTTTTCAATAATAAATGTATTAGTCTCTTTTATTTTTTGTGTATGTGAAAGATGACAGTAAATTCTTATAAGTGAGTGAATAAATATGAGTAAGGATGGTGGATATTAATAAATAAATTTAAGGTTATAAATTTATCAGTCATGACTTATAAATAAATAAATATAATTAATAAGACCGTCTACCGTCTTGTAAATGTCTTAAAATTTAAAATAATATTTGACCCAATGCTACTTTATCTATTTCAATGGCTTCATATTTATAAGTCTTTCCATCACGTTAACTTGTTAACCATCTAATTGAAAAGTTTAGTGGCAAGAGGCATAGAATTTTATTTTTTTTTTTAAAAAAAAATTTACTTAAAAAATGGACGCACAGATAGTGTGTGCCAAAAAAGAGTTGTAACTACTTTGTAATTGAAGAGTTCTGATTTTTTTTATTTTTTTTATTTTATATAATTAGGTTGATTTACATGCCAATATATCTTATTCCAACGCTAGCAATTGAAAAATTGTGTTGCTTCATGCTCAACCTATAAGTTACTTAGTTTATTTATTTATATATTCAATTTAAATATTTGTTAATTATTATTAATTTAAATTTGTTAGGTTTTTATTCTTAGCAAGTTCGTTTGACAAAATTCCTTTCAGTTGTAATTTTATTCGCTCTTGTATTTCAATGAGGCTATGAGTGTTTAGATGCGAATCCAACCCGAATTGTGCCTTGCAGAGAAGTTTGTGATGTTAATACTTTTAAGATTGCCACTTTGCTGATTATGACAAGGATCGAGCTACCCGATCAGCTCAGGGGGGTCGAGGGGCAGCGTCCCCGAAGAAAAATGCAAAATTGCATTCAAAGTTGCATGTCCGCAGTTCTCGCTCAAGCGAAGGCTGCGTCCGTATAAAAACCTGAAAGAGATTATTTTACGCTCGAGCGCAGATTGTTTGGCTCGAGCGAAGCCACTTATGGAAAACACGCGTTTTTGATTCCTCGCTCGAGCGAGACAGTCTTCGCTTGAGCGAGCATCGCGATTCAGATTTCTATAAGTACGTGTTTCTGTCAGATTTTAAAATTACTTCTCCAGATCTTCTTTTTGGATATTAAGGTTTATCTCTGGAGATATTTTGCTAGTTTTCTTTAATATTTTGATTGAGTATTCAACTCATGGTTTAAAGAGTATACATCAGAGGATTATTTGTTTGTTTTACACAATAGAGAGAGTTGTTCTTCGGTGGATTCTAAAGAATTCGAGCCTGAAACTTTGGTGGATTCCGGAGTGGCTCATCGTCAAGACAAGTCCGAGGTGAAGACGGGATTGAAAAAGACACGTAGAGGTTGGTTCAATTCGAGCGTGGATTAGCTAGGTAATTGAGAGTATACATGTTTAATTCCTTTATATCTTCTTAGTGGATTGTTTTGTGGTTGTTGCCCATGGTTTTTTTTATCATAATTGGAGGTGTCCAATTGTGATTTTTTCACGTAAAATCGTTGTGTCGATTTGTCTTGATTGTTCAATTGGGATTGTTATATACTGCTTAAAATTGATACATAATCACAAATCAACATCTAGGGGATTTCTTGATTTTTCAAAATTTTATATCTACAATTTTCTAGTTTCCATTTTATATTTTTCTCAATAAAATTACGATGAAGAAATATCATTTTGTAGTTCAAATTATTATTCGATACATAATTTGACACTTAGACTTTGTATTATTTTAATTTGATGCCTAAACTTTTTCAAATTTGATCAATTTAAACCCTGTTGTCGGTCTCCGTCTACAATCAAATGGAATTTACTGATGTAGTATCAAATTTCATTTGGAAATTCATTTTACCTCCTAAAATATATCTTAAAAATCAAATAGCCCCCCAAATATTAAAAAAAAATTATTTAAATATTTAATAAATAATTTTTTATATCAATAATAAAAAATTAAATTTTAAATTATATATTTTACAAAAAAAAATATAAAAATTCTCATTTGGAATTATCTCTTTCGATCTCAAATTATCTCAAATTGATTCTGAAGAAACCAATTGAGCCGAAAATTGATCAATTTCCATGAGTCATGTCATAGCCCTAGGCTTGGGTTTGACTAAGAAAATTGATCAGTAATTGATCGATTATTTAGTTGAAATATTTAGTAAATAATTAATTTAAATTTTATATTTAAATTATGTCTAAATTTTATATTTAAATAATATTATAGTTTTTCAAGTTGTAATATGCATGGAATAACTTGAGGTGGTAGAATTGGGTTAGGCACTAATGTTATATTTAGTTGGGAAATTTAGGAAGTGATTTAGAAATGGAAAGAAAAATGTAGGTGAAATGTGAATAAAATATACACATTTACCTTTTTTTGTTTTCAAATCTTTTTCCAAATTTCCCAATCAAAGACAGCGTAACCACAACCCAAAAGCTGAGTTTAGGTTTATTTATATGCCAATGTATCTTATTCCAACGCCAGTAATTGAAAAATTATGTTGCTTCATGTTCAACCTATAAGTTACTTAGTTTATTTATTTATATATTCAATTTAAATATTTGTTAATTATTAATTTAAATTTTATATCTACAATTTTCTAGTTTCCATTTTATATTTTTCTCAATAAAATTACGATGAAGAAATATCATTTTGCAGCTCAAATTATTATTCGATACATAATTTGACACTTAGACTTTGTATTATTTTAATTTGATGCCTAAACTTTTTCAAATTTGATCAATTTAAACCCTGTTGTCGGTCTCCGTCTACAATCAAATGGAATTTACTGATGTAGTATCAAATTTCATTTGGAATTTCATTTTACCCCCCAAATTATACCTTAAAAATCAATTAACCCCCCACATATTAAAAAATATATTTAAATATTTAATAAATAATTTTTTATATCAATAATGAAAATTTTAAATTTAAATTACATAATTTGCAAAATAAAATAAAATAAAATTAATATAAAAATCCTTATTTGGAATTATCTCTTTCAGTCTCAAATTATCTCGAGTTGATCCTGAACAAACTAATTGAGCCGA